TACAAATTTTTAAAATAAATTCGTTTTAAGTCTAGCTTGTTTAGACATCTGCTATCTTAAAAGAAAATGTCCTTTAGATTTACCTCTATTCTACATCTACTGAACTAATCCTTACTTTTACAACATTTAATTATATCTGGAAGCAGTGTAAATAATGTAAGAGGAAAACATTTCGGAATTTAATTTCCACTACAATTATAGCCTTTGCTAGGGATTTGGTTTTCCCATGTAGGGCCTACCTCATAACCTCCTTCGGTTATGACTCTTTTCATTCAGGGCTATAATAATATAATATTATAATATAATGATTATAGTATAATACATGTATAATAATATAATAAATTATATGGTATAATAATGCTACCTCAGAATTACAAAGTTCTAGCCACTCAGTACCTAGTGTAAATGAGATATTTGGCTTTAAAAACTCTCAATATGTCAAGTCTTTTGGAATGCAGTTCTTTGAATATCTTGATAACGAATCAGAATAACCGTACACTTTTCATAGAGCTATTACCGCATTAGATTTCGGATGTCATGGTCTTATATTGTTTTTGTAATTGTTTTACGGTGCTCGCAACTGCATAAGGTCATATGAGCGTGCGGGACACATTAAAATTTTCAGTTGGTAGGAAATTTTGTCATGGTCTTAGTAACTCAAAACAGCCAAAAATGTCAAGATAGATCTAGAATGTTGTAATTCTGAGGAGGCGATAATATGATAATATTTATTATAATATATTTGGCAACTTGGAAATACATGTGTCGTTTTTCCCATAAAACTACGACAGCTACAGAGTTGAAAGTTGGCAAGTACCTGCAAAAAGATAGATAGGTCCCCATGACGGAGCCCGATTTTTGATTTATTAATTTTCTGAATTTAGAAAAATATATCTGACAAAAAGTTCCTGTCTTTCTTTGGCCTTTGTGATTATTCCTCTGAGAAACGAAAAAAATCTGCGTAGCTGTCCTTCACAATGGAAGTGCTGGAAGTGATATTTCGCCATGCACATTTTGTTTTGAGAGTATATATCTAGACCTTCTAATTTTTTGCATCTCTCAAATTGTATTGCTCCATTCTAGCAGAGTGTATATATTATAGATCTAGATATCTAGTAAGCCAATGGCTTTCAGTTTCAGTTGATGTTAATGCACCGATCATTCCTTTCATCGAAAGGGGGCCCGGCTAGTATAATGTAGTATAATATAATACATGTATAATATAATATATGTATATAATAATGAGTGTCTTTCAGCGTAGCAGCGTGTTGAAATTAAAATATACCCCATAGATCTACATTGGGAACAAAATAGACATAACTGCCACAAAATAAAGGGACATGACTGATTTTGTGCATTGAATAAAGGGACGTAAATCTCTACGATTTATTTTGAGAGAGCTTGGGGGAGTATTGTGGATATTATCTCATGTTGTAAGAAACAGTGTACGTACATTGTTGCATTTCTGTACGAGGCACCTGTATCATTGCTCAGTCTAAATGTTTAAATTACACTATATTTGATAATTATACATTGAGGCACGAGTTTGAAATGAGCTAAACCCATAAGATCAACCGGTTTTAGTTTGTTCATAACCCATAATCGGATCTGTAAACGGTACTCTGGTTTCTCTTCACAACGAATAAATCTTTCGCCTTTTACTAAAGATTTCCGTGGAGAGGAGCAATATAATGAGTCTATAGACTATTTTTCAAGCCCTACATAGTAGGGTATACAACAACTAAATGAAAGTGATGGTTCCCATTGTTCGTAGATCATAGTTAGGCTCTCATAAACTATGTGTAGTGTGTAGATCTACTACTGTTGCTGATTACTGCTGCCTTATCAGACATTAAAAAAAAATCTGTAGGGATTTGTTTGTACTAGGCCTATGTGTTGTTAGAATTCATCACAAGGCAAAATAATCTCATTCAACTAAAAACTAAAAACTACACATTTCACATCAGATGGCGACAGTTACGATGAGATAAATTATAGACTTAATCTCATACACTATGTGTACTATTGCCGACTACTGCCTTATCAGACATAAAAAAAAACCCTGTAGGGATTTGTTTATACTAGATCTACGTGTTGTAAGAATTCATCAAAAGGCGAAATAATCTCACCCAACATAAACTTACACATTTCACATCAGCTGGCGACAGTTACGATGAGATAGATTATAGATCTAGACATAATCTGCCTATTATTTTCTGCTAGTTTCACTTTCTATACAAATTTTTAAAATAAATTCGTTTTAAGTCTAGCTTGTTTAGACATCTGCTATCTTAAAAGAAAATGTCCTTTAGATTTACCTCTATTCTACATCTACTGAACTAATCCTTACTTTTACAACATTTAATTATATCTGGAAGCAGTGTAAATAATGTAAGAGGAAAACATTTCGGAATTTAATTTCCACTACAATTATAGCCTTTGCTAGGGATTTGGTTTTCCCATGTAGGGCCTACCTCATAACCTCCTTCGGTTATGACTCTTTTCATTCAGGGCTATAATAATA